GATAATAGTAAACAGTGCTCCTACCCACCGTCCATGTTTTAAAAAATTGATTTGTTAGGGAAACTGAGTCACTGGTGCTGTAGAATTTCACATTCTTTATTTCGGTGTCATTTAGCTCATTCCTTCATTCTCCATATTTCCTGTGGCTAGAACCTAGAAGATGGATTAGATTCAGGTTCATTTTTTAGGTGAGACTCCTTCATTGGTGATGCCATGTACTTACTTCATCACCTCATGAGTACTTCAGGTTGGCTGACCCACTTCTAGTGATACTAAGATGGCTCACTGGGTTCAAGTGGTGTCAGCCTGGTCCCTTCATTATAAAGCTCCCCATAAACTTTCCCCTAATGGTTTTAGCATTCACTGATAATTGTTGCCTAAATCCATTATTTCGTTAGAGATTGCAAAATGGCAACTTTCTAGTTCTATCATTCCTCCTGTATTTATTATTTGGAATTCTTCTTTAAATCTTCCCTGGAATACAGTTCCTACAGAAAAGGCAAGATACATGCTTGAGTCTTTCTTTTATCTACCAATCTTCAGATATTCCAATGATGATAAATGAGATTTTTAATATTATGAAATTCATGGACTTATATATATATTTGCTGTGTTTCATTCTATTATAGTTATTTTCTTTGTTATGCTTAGATTTCTCCATCTTAGGCTGGTGGGTGCTACTTCAAATTGGCTCCTTTGTCCTTTGACTGATCCCAATAGACTTCGATAGCTTCCTTTCTTCCTGGTGTATGAGGATGTCCCATGTTCATCTTGTGCATTTTCTGCCCCAGACTTAGAATCAGTAATTTTTTTTAAGCAATCTGCATTCTTTTCAGTAAAGAATAGCATTTATAGACAACTCTTGAAAGCTAAGATGCTCATTGCTCATGATGTCTTTGCTTCAAGGTCTTGGTGGACAAATCTAGAAAATGCATGCTTATTTTTTAAAAGATGAGTTTATATTAATATTTTCAGTTAAATTCCTCCTTCAGGATTTTAATTTCTTTGATTTCATTCTTATGTATTCTCTCTCTTAAGCTTGAAATCTCAGTTTCTAATGACATTAACATGATAACATATGCTTTATCTTACAATACTCAATACTCTCATAATTGTTTCAAAGTAACTTTACCAATATTACTAGTAACAATTAAACTTCAGAATATGGTTTAGAGTCAGTGGATTTTGACAAGCATATACAGTCATGTGACTACCACCATAATTAAGATATTTCTGAATATGCAAATGGGCCATGGCCAGACTACATGCAGGAATAGAACTCTGACCCACAACCTGCAGCAATCAGCTTAGGAAGCAACCTAGTAGGTGCAATAACCAGTCCAGGAAGTCAAACTACTATCTGTAACAATCAGCCTAGAAAGTCAAATAGCCTGGTCCAAGTGGCCTGGACTTGATTAATAATTGACAACTTCCTTAATTTTGGTCCCCACTTCTAACTTAGGACCTACGGGAGAAAGCCAAATATGTGTCTTTAACCAATCGCCTAGGATAACCTGCTTCTAGTTAGCCCACCTGCAGCTTTCCATGCTAACAGCCTCCACTCAGGGCATATCTGGCGCCTTCACTATTTCCCACTTTGTACTGCTGCACAGTACTGTATTGTGTGTGTGTGTGTGCCACGGTTTATTCCATTCAACCTCTAACCATGATTAGTTGAGCTATTTGAAATATTTTGCTCTTGTAAACAGTGTCACATGCCTGTGCATATGTCATTCTGTATCTTTGCTAAAATATCTTTGGGATAGAGTCCTAGGAAAAAATTAAATTGCTTGGCAAAAGAGTAAATGTATATGTAGTTTTGCAAGATATTGTCAAATTCCTCTCCTATAGGATTTGTACCCTTTTGCATTTCCAACAGCAATGAATGAGAGAGCCTGTTTTCCCACTGAAATATTGTTAAAGTTTTGGATTTTTGCCCATCTAATAGGTGAGAAACAGGATCATACTGTAGATTTAATTTAAATTTCTCTTATTATGGGCAAGGTCAATCATCTTTTCATATGTTTAGGTGTCATTTGCAATTCTTAATGAAATGTCTGTTCATATTATTTTCTAATTTTTTAGCAAATTGTATTGTTGGTCTTTTTTAAAAAGATTTCTTTATTTTAGGGGGCGCCTGGGTGGCTCAGTCGTTGGGCGTCTGCCTTCGGCTCAGGTCATGGTCCCAGGGTCCTGGGATTGAGGCCCGCATTGGGCTCTCTGCTCAGCGGGAAGCCTGCTTCTCCGTCTCTCACTCCCCCTGCTTGTGTTCCTTCTCTCGCTGTGTCTGTCAAATAAATAAACAAAATCTTTAGAAAAAAATATTTATTTATTTTAGAGAGAGAGAGAGCAGGGGGCGCAGAGGGAGAGAAACTTAAGCAGACTCAGCACTGAGCATGAAGCTGGATGTGGGGCTCAATCCCATGACCCTGAGATCATGACCTGAGCTGATACCAAGTCAGATGCTGAACCAACTGAGTCACCCAAGTGCCCTTGCATTGTTGGTCTTTTTAACCCTTCAAGTGTAGGAGAATTTCATTTATGAAAAATATTAGTATATGGTTATAATTTGCATTTCTCCCAACTTTGTCATTTGTTAGTTGATTATTTATAGTATTTTTTCATGCAAAGCCTTCTTATATTTATGTAGTTAATCACTTTTTTCTTTATTATTTCTGGATTTGAGTGATAGCTAGCAGTTTTTCCCAGTCTCAGTTTATAAAAAAAAAAATTCACTCATGTTTTCTTCTAGTAGACTTTTAATAGACTAAATATAGTCCTTTTTTTAAACAGCTTTATTGAGATTTAATTTACATACCATACAATTCAGTCATTTAAAGTATACAATTCAGGGGCGCCTGGGTAGCTCAGTTGGTTAAGCGACTGCCTTCGGCTCAGGTCATAATCCCGGAGTCCCGGGATCGAGTCCCACATCGGGCTCCCTGCTCGGCAGGGAGTCTGCTTCTCCCTCTGACCCTACCCCCTCTTGGGCTCTCTCTCTCTCTCACTCTCTCTCTCAAATAAATAAAATCTTTAAAAAAAAATAAAAATAAAGTATACAATTCAGTGACTTTTAGCATATTACATCATTATTTTTTTAATCATGGTAAAATATAAATAACATTAAATTTACCTTTCTGACCATCTTGTAAATGTACAATTTAGCAGTATTAATTACATGCTCAGTGTTGTACAGCCATGACCACCATCTATTTCAAACCTTTTTCTTCATCCCAAACAGAAACTCTGTAACCATTTAGCAGCAACTCCCCATTTTTGCCTCCTTCCAGCCCCTGATAACCTCTTACTTACTTTCTGTTTCTGAATTTGCCTATTCTAGATATTTCATGTAAGTAGAATCATACAATATTTGTTCTTTTGTGTCTGATATTTCACTTAGCATATTTTCAACATTCATCCATATTGTAGTATGTATCAGAACATCATTGCTTTTTACAGCAGAAAAATATTCCACTGTATGGATAACTGCATTTAGTGTCTCCATTCATCTGTTTATGGATACTTGGGGTGTTTCCATCTTTTGACTTTTGTGAATAATGCTGCAAAGAACATTGCTGTGCAAACATCTATTCAAACCCCTGCTTTCAATCCCTTTGAGTATATATGTAGGAGTAGAATTTCTGGGTCATTTGGTGTTTAGCTTTTTGAAGAAATGTGAAACTGTTTTCTACACTGACTGTGCCATTTTCCATTCCCACCAACAACATATAAGGGTTCCAATCCTCCACATCTTGGATAATACTTGTTATTTTCTGGTTTTGTTTTTGTTTTTAAAGCCATCCTAGGAGGTGTGAAGTAGTATCTCATTGTGGCTTTAACTCGTATTTCCTTGTGACTAAAGATGTTGAGTATCTTTTCTTGTGCTTATTGTATATTTTCTTTGGAAAAATGTCTATTTGAGTCATTTTTTAATTGGGTTGTTTGTCTTTTTGATACTGAGTTGTAGGAGTTATTTATATATTCTGGATATTAAACTCTTAACAGGTATATGACTTGCGAATATTTTCTCCCACTCTGTGGGTTTGTTTTTCACTTTCTTGATAATGTCCTTTGATACAAAAGCAGTGTTGATGAAGTCCAATCTATTTTTTCTTTTGTTGCTCATACTTTTGACTTCATAAGAATCCATTGCCAAATCCAAGGTCTTGATGATTTACCACTATATTTTCTTCTAGTAATTGTATGGTGTCAGGTCTTATATTTAAGTCTTTAACCCATCTTAAGTTGATTTTTGTATATGGTGTAAGACAGGGGCTTCATTCCTTTGCTTGGGGATATCCAGCTGTCCCAGCACCATTTGGTGAAGAGATTATTCTTTCCTCTTTGAATGTATTTGGCACCCTTGTCAAAAATCTGCTGATCATAGATGTTTGGATTTATTTCTGAACTCTCAATTCTATCCCACTGGTCTATATGGCTATCCTTATGCCAGTACCACACTGTTTTGATTACTGTAGTTTTGTAGTAAGTTTTGAAATTGGGAGATGTGAGTCCTTCAGCTTGGGACTTCTGTTTCAAGATTGTTTGGCTATTCAGGCCCCTTTGCAAACCCATATGATTTTGAGGATCGACTTTTCCATTTCTGCTAAAAATGTTGTTGAAATTTTAATAGAGATTGCCTTGAATCTGTAGATTGCTTTGGGTAATACAGACATCTTGACAAAATTAATTCTTATCCATGAACATGGTTGTCTTTCCATTTACTTAGGCCTTTCAAGAGACTTCTTGATACTTTTTAGTAGAATACAAATGAGGCAAAACCATCCAGGTCCTTCAAAGTTACCAAGCAATGCACAAGCAAAAGTCCCAAATGTTGAGTGATTGCATTAAAACACATTTCACTGCAAATCACAAAGCATCACTTTATTTTCATATAAATCATAGTCACTGATGAAGGGGAAAAACAAAATCACGATTATCGGTATTTACCTAGGGAGCCATCTTCATAGAACACTGATGGAGGAACATGGTATACATCCTCAGAGCGGCAGGGGACACAGGGATAAGCACACTAGATTGAAAGCATAAAAGCATATTCTCATAAGAACCAAGCAATCCTTGTTGTTGGAGGACCAAATGGAATCATCATTAATGTAAGTAGAATCAAAGTTCACAATCTGTAAGTCCTTTTTAAGATATGCATGATTCAGTTTATTTACAGTTCGAGCAAAGGCATATTTAGAAGCACAACTGTATGCTTCCAAACTGTACACTTTCTTGAAATGCAGATCAAAAAATGGATTGTCCTAGAAGAAAAAGAGAGACATGATTTTGCTTGTAGCCAGGAAAGTAGTTAGATTTCCTGGGGATTCTCTCATATTCTCTTACATATGCTTATTGATTGTAAAGTATCAGTATCAAACATATTTCTAAAACCTACAAATGAGCTTTCCAAAGCTATCTGCTTTAAATATATTGTTTCTAAAGAGAACAATAATACAGAAGATCATTTTGGAAGCCTCTGTGATTTTTCAATTATGTAAACAAAACATGTCTCAGGATGCACAGTTATCAAGTTTTCCCACAGTAGTGAGTTTGAGAGGATAAGTTGGGATGGAAAAAGAGAAATAAACCCCTGTTCTGGAGGGGAGAAAAGATTTCTCCTTTTCTTTATTAGGAGGTTGGTCCCTTGTGCTAATCCAATGGTAGAAGGGGGAAATACAAGATGGCAAGATTAGCATTTAGCATGCTACAGATCACCAGCTTGCTGACTTTGAAGTTAATAGCAAGGAATTACCTTTGAAGTTAACAGCTGGGATCATTAAATCATTTGACTGAAATTGTCAAATTACTTAAGACTGCCTCTATTGATTGCTCTAGGCTGTTGCTACATTTCTAGCAGAGGTGTTTTGAGGAAAAGTGGACATCAAACCTCATCTAGGTCCTATATGTTAAAATAATAATAATTGCTGTTACTAAGAGCAGTAACAACAATGCTTTGCATTTATAAAATGTTTTTCAGTTCACAAAATGCTTCCACATTCATTAACTGTCTAACCCCTAACTCTTTTTGAGGGCAGAGGTTTTGAATTATTATCTCTGTATTCCCAGTGCTTATCCCTTGCAACTACTAAGTTCTCAACAAATGTGTGTTGACTGATCAGAAGTAGTCCTATAAAAAGAGAGGTGGAGGTAAACGTTGCTCTGACTGACAAGGAGGTGGAGAGAGACCAAACCAGACTATTAATAATTTGTTACCAGGTAGTGTGTAAACATTATAAAGAAACAGCTATACATTTGCAATTTCTCTTTTAAATAGGAAAATTTTTGCAGGATGCAGGAAAAAGAACATGAGTTTTGAAGTTAGATAACCATTTTGAATCTCTGATGTAACCATGGGCAAGGTACTTATCTGATCTGACCTTCACTCTTCTCCTCATTTTAGATATGGTTGCTATGAAATTTACATGAGATTCATTTAAAAAACTGCAAGGGTAGAGTTTAATGAATAATAGCTCTTTTTCCCCAAATCTGCCCCCAAAGATTGTGATCTTGGTGTGAATACTGCCTTGCTTCGTGCCAGTAAATTAAAAAAAACCAACAACAATGCTTTCAAACAAGAATGTACAAAAGTGATGTGATTTATTTTATTTATTTTAATTTTTTTTATTTTATTATGTTATGTTAATCACCATACATTACATCATTAGTTTTTGATGTAGTGTTCCATGATTCAAAAGTGATGTGATTTTAAATGCAGTGTTCCCTTGAGCCACACCTTGCAAAATTTTTGCTGGCTGTCATAATTGCAGCTTGAAAGACACTTCTGCAGGAAATCTCTCACACCCATTCTATCACCATATGCTAATCATGCTCTTTATATAGTTTTCTCACTAAAACTTTGGCTCCTTATCTTGTAGATAATATCCGTTATGCCTTTGAGATACTCACAGAGGATTACTTTTCTACTTTAGCCTAATAACTGAAGCCTGAGCAGGCATGCACATAGAATACAAGTGCCTCCTTCCTCTTCTTTCTCTCCCTCTCCCTTCTCTCGTTCTTTCTTTCCAGAGAATCCTAGAGCTAGAAGGGGGTCTCACGGATCACTCAGTGACCTCTTGTTTATGTCTGGGATAATAGTTTCCAGAGAGGTAGGGCCCTGGTCACACACGTAGTTGTTGGCAGAGCCAGGATAAGAACAAAGACCTCAATCAACCCAGCCTGGTGTTTTGCTACACCGTCTGCCCTCCTGATATACAAACCACATCACTCTCCAAATCCCCAGTCCTTTTGATTTCTGCTTTATAGATTGACTTCAATTTCAATTCCATTCCATTTTAAAGTTGACAACTCTCCGGCTCAGAATTGTTCTTTTTAAAACCATATTGTTGCTATTGAGAAAAATATAATAGATGCTGACTTCTGAAGATTCAATTCCAAGAGAGAGGAGACATAGAAACTCCCAGAACAACTGGGATATTTTCGTTTCATCCACAGGAAATAAATCTTTAAAAAGAACTGCTCTTTGGATATTATAGGTTTTTTTTTTTTTCTGGCAGTTTAATATTTTTGGGTCCTAAAGTGATGAGAAAATTAGAAATACTCAATTTCTCTTTTGTATATAGATCACTATAAAAGATGATGCTCTTCAACAGGAAAGGGAAGAAGCAACAAGATTGGGATGGAATTAAGGCCAGGAAGGTGAGGAGAAAATAGAGCACTGTGAGCTGCTTCCGGGGAACCTAAGCTGACAGGCTTGCTGAATACAGCCCCAGGCACTGACCAAGTTTGTGGGAAATCATTATGGACATCAGTAATATTTGACAACCTGAGAGAAAAATAAGAAAAGAAAAATGGGCCAAAAAAGAGGCAGACATGGTTAATTCCTGAAACTAGGTTAGTGAACTTGACCCTGATTTTTTAAAAAATATTTCTTTTATTTATTAAACAGCACAGTAAGATTCTTTTTTCTTTTTAGAGAGAGAGAGAGTGAAAGAGAGTGCACAAGTGGGGGGTGGAGAGGGGCAGAGGGAGAGGGAGAGAATCTTAAGCAGGTCCACACTCAGTGCAGAGCCTGACACAGGGCTCGATCTCACACCCCGAGATCATGACCTGAGCTGAAATCAAGAGTCAGAGGCTTAACCGACGGAGCCACTCAGGAGCACCTTGAGATTGATTTCTGATAAAATTCAGTGCAGTATAGAAATTTTGACAATTACATAGAAGTATAAGGAAGAAATAATAATTTAAAAATACGTAATCCTATCACACAGAGATAATTATTGTTAAAATACTGCTTTCTTTCATACATAGATGTACATGCATAAATACATATACCTATATGTATTTTTTGTATTTGAATTTAAGGTTCAGATTTCAGTTTTCAATAATATGAAATATTCTAAATATGCAATATGAGATAACAGTAGAAAAATTTTGTATTTGGCTGACTTTTAAAAAACTTGTTAAGTAGTGAACAATTGAGTTCTGAGTCATTCTTGTGGAAACATGATTTTTAATGACATGTAACATTCCACCATATTGATATGCAATAATAACTATTTCCTAAGTGTTGAACTTTTAGGTTGAATATATTATCAGAAAAATGCTATGTGAGTACTCAGGAAAAAAAAGCAATGAAATCCAGCATGCTTTCACCAAGAAGTCATGCCAAACGTACCAAATTTTTAAAATAGGATTGATTCCTAGGTAATGTCAAGATAATAGTAGATAGCATATATTGATTTCAGTAAAGATCATAAGGGCAAAATGCAGGTATTCAGACTAGATAATTAAGTAAATAAGTAAGTCAGGTAGGATTAAGTGCTTATGTCTGTCTATTCCACCACCGTATCTTAAGAGCCTAGTAGAACCTGGTATACCACAAATTCTGAATGAATGAATGAATGAATATATGAATTTGTAGAGATGTTAAACAAGCAGTCCAAAGAAGGCAAATTAATAGGTTTCTGGGCAAAGTCTAGTTCCACTACTGAATAGCTTTGTAACCTTGGGCAAGTCAATTAATCTCTTTGAGTTTCGTTTTCCTCATTTGTGAATTGGAAGTAATAACAGAATCTAATTCTATAAGGTTTGTGATGATTATGTGAAATATATATGAAAAGAGCTTCATGTGGTTCCTGGCATCTGATAAGAATTTACTGAGTGTGAAATGGTAGCAGGGATCGGTATTACAAGTGGTGGTAATAGTAACCAATCAATTACCTAGAGGTTACCCAGATGGCGCTTAGCTCTGCTTGCTTCATCATTTTTATTATTGACTTGAATCAAGTCCTATATGTTGTGCTCATTAAATCTGCATCATACCACAATGAATATTAAAAAATCAAGTATTAAATGATTTGATAGGGACGCCTGGGTGGCTTAGTCGTTAAGCGTCTGCCTTCGGCTCAGGTCATGACCCCAGGGACCCGCATCGGGCTCCCTGCTCCCTGGGAAGCCTGCTTCTCCCTCTCCTACTCCCCCTGCTTGTGTTCCCTCTCTCACTGTGTCCCTCTCTGTCAAATAAATAAATAAAATCTTTTAAAAAAAGATTTGATAGGTGGGAATAACAGGCTAAACTAAGAATATGGTATTCACTAAGATTAAGAATAAATGCATCGACATGGATGGGAACTGGAGGGGATTATGCTAAGTGAAATAAGTCAAACAGAAAGACAATTATCATACGGTTTCACTCATATGTGGAACATAAGGAATAGCGCAGAGGACCACAGAGGAAGGGAGGGAAAACTGAATGGGAAGACATCAGAGAGGGGGACAAACCATGAGAGACTTTGGACTCCGGGAACCAAACTGAGGGTTACAGAAGGGAGGGGGGTGGGGATGGGGTAACCGGGTGATGGACATTAAGGAGGGCATGTGTGGTGATGAGCACTGGATGTTATCTGCAACTAATGAATCGTTGAACACTACATCGAAAACTAATGATGCACTATATGTTGGCTAATCGAACATAATAATAAAAAAAGAATAAATAAGCTTAAAATCTAATTGATCCAACAAAAACACAAATGCTTATTGAATGCTTAATATCTATAAGGCAGAAGGCTACGATAAAAGATCAAAAGTCATGGTCTCAGTTTTTTAAGAGGTTTCCAACCAGAAGAGAGAGAGAGTAAGCCAACAATTGCAGTTTCTGGAATTATGTCTGTAACTTACATCCACAATACAATGGGGGTTTCGGGAAAGGGAAACACGAGTAGGACTTTACCCTATAGGGAATCTGGGAAGGGGGTGAGAGATGGAGGTGACTGGGCATTTTAAACCTCAAGAGTCAGTAGTTAAGCACTGTGGATGCATACAGTTTAAGGGGGAATGACCAGAAATAAAGAAGCCAGATCACCAAGAGCCCTAATTTAAATTTTATGCTATGTAAGTAGAGGCTATGGCAGATCAGGTTAAATGGTAATTCAGGGACAAAAGACCTGAGGTTTCAGGTAAGTGTTTAATGGAAATAAAGAATTCAGATCAAAGGAAATACAAACTAGTCACACTAATTCTAAATTATTGTATTTAATTCTGGAAAAGCTGGAGCATTCCAGGGGAGAGAAAACAGGGTAGTGAGGGTGTTGAAGCAATGTCATGGGAAAGAAATCACAACAATGCTACTACCTCTTAACATTTGTATTGTCCCAACATATTATCTTATTTGATCTTCATGTGAAAGTTATTTAAAGAATGAAATGGTTACATTTAACTTAGAAAAGAGAGAACTTGACGGAACATTATAATCATCTTCAAATATTGGAAAGGCTGCTATGTGAAAGGAGGATTGGAGTTTTTCTAATTTGCTCCAAATGGCAAAACCAGGACTGATGGGTGGATGTTAGAGTGAAGCAGATTTTTGGTTAAACATAGCAGGAAATTTAAAAATAAAGTATGGCAATTCAGAAATTGAATGGACTTCCTCACATGACAATGAGTTCCCCAACAGTGGACAAGTTCAAGGGAAGACTGAGAAAACCACTTGTCAAGAGGCTATGTGGAGAGATTGGCATATACACCCTCTCCCCACCTTTCAACTCGAAGGTTGTAGGATTTCCAAGAGTTATTGGTTTTTCTGGAGGATAAAGTGGCTAACTAACAGTAGTTTCAAGAAGATGAGGAAGGAATCCCCCAAATTTAATGGAGGAACTTGGGGTGGGGAGAGGGCAGTGGTGGAAGCATCATATAAAGTTTTAGGATTGACTGGCAGATCGTGTTTAACCTGTTAAGAATCCCTTGGGAAAGATGCTTTTAAATTTAATGGACAAAAATTCAAACTCCAACTCAGAAAAACGAACAAAAAACCCCGTGGATTATCCCAGCAGGAAAACCCATAGCACTTAAGAACAATATGTCATCTTAACACTTAGTATATGCCAAGAATAATATGAAGTAGGATATTGAACACAAAGATTTCTAGCATATTGATCCCACATCTCCCTTGCAAAACATAACACTTACGGTATCTGCTTCTTTTCCATCAATCATCTGCAGATCGTTCAAAGACCACTTTTTTGTCACTTCGTATTTTTCATCTAAACCTATTCTGTAGTGTTTCACCATGATTATTTTTACTTCTTCATTTTTGGTCACTGGAGGGCAGAAAAACATTTAGTTTTCATAAACTCTTAGAAGGTAATAATTATTCATCAAGTTATACTTTTTATACTTTTCGGTATTTATGTATCTCCTTTTCATAGAACGAGTTTGAGCCTTCATTGTATCTGTACCCCAATGATGAACCCTGATATATCTGAACCTTCATGACAATGCCCCCTAATTTGCTCCATATGTTAACTACTTTATGCTACAACAGTGGTTACATACTGCCCTGGTAATGTCTGTTGGATGGTGCACTGAGCTATGGGCTTTCAGCTATGAGCTTTGTGGTGGAGAATGGGGTTCGACTCATGGCAGGAAATAAGAGGCTTAGTGTTGGCATACAGTCAGTGCCAAAGTATTTACCAGAACAAATTGGAATTTTAATTTATGACAATATAGAAAGTGAGGTCAGGAAAGCAAACAGTTCTGCTCACACAGCAACACAGTGTTGAAGAGTGACCGTATGAATACTACTCTGCATGCTTTCTTTTAAAGTCGCTGTGAGATTTTTTTTTTTTAAGATTTTATTTATTTGACAGAGAGAGAGACAGCAAGAGGGAACACAAGCAGGGAGAGTGGGAGAGGGAGAAGCAGCCCCCCCGCGGAGCAGGGAGCCAGATGCGGGGCTCGATCCCAGGACCCTAGGATCATGACCTGAGCCGAAGGCAGATGCTTAACCGTCTGAGCCACCCAGGCACCCCTCGCTGTGAGATTTTTGTTGTAGAAGTGCTTGCATCACAGCTACTGTTGACTTGTTTGGTATTGTTTGAGATTTTTAAACTTCTTGAGCATGTTTCCAAATTTTAGCATTCAAAATGTGCCATCAAGACAAAAAGCTTTAGTACTATACCTTGAAAGGCATGGGAAAAATCATTGCTTATTTGATGTGAACAAAATGAGGGAAATAATTTCCTGGACTTAAAATCTTTGGTCTCATATGAACACAACAGAGGAATCAACATTTGATATTGGAGCTCTTGGATTGAAAATTATCAATGAATTAATAAAGGTATATTTACTGAATATCTGCTATTTACCTGATGGAGCTATTACAGATGCCAGAGGGGATACAAGTATGAGACATAGTCCATGCCCTCTAGAATCTATGGTTTTGTTGCTAACACACATGAGTCACACAAAATATATAGTGATGGTACATAATGGTATATAGGTGTATTATACAATGGTATGTAGGTATATCATAAAGAGGTTGCAGTAGGAATTTAATTTCTGAAAGCTTCTTTCAAGATGGATGATGTCACTTAGAGAGTTGCAAACTGGTTCTGTCCTCTAAGAGTGAAACTGGAATTTGTCTTTGAGGAACTTTCTTTTGGTTCTGGAAAGTGCCCTTTGGCATATCCTCTCAGTTAAGAAGATATAAAGCAATGCATTAAGATATAATCATAATGCTAGATAAGCAACGTGCAGCAGATTATATGTTCAACAGGATTTCTGAGGATGGAGAGGACTGGAATAGTTAAGGAAGGAATTATGGGAGAAATAGAATTTGAGACAGATATATAATAGTCCTGTTTGGGAAGGCAGGGATGATACTGAAAGCATCTCTAGGTGAAGGACAGCATGAGGAAATGGATGACAATAGAAGCTGAACCTCACCAATAGAATTAGAACAAGTGGACTGTGTAGATTGGTTGGTGATAGGATACGGTGGGCAATAGGATTAACTAGGTTGAGAAGATTGTGAAAATGTTTTGAAAACCTCTGGATTTGAAAAGGGACAGAGACCACTGAGGACCTGTGATACCCGAATCCTCCCTCTGGAGGAAGGGATGGGATTTTGGCCTGGGCAGTGAGGCCTCCAGAATTGGGGCTGGTGAAGGGAGTAATTACCCTCCGAAGGTGCAAATGAGACTGAAATTAAGGCAACCAGTCGAACTTTAGAGTTGCTCAGTGACTTCAATCCTCTAGAGGAGGGAGTCTGAGCAGGTTCACAAATCTAAGAGGAGGGCTCTCTGTCAGGTGTTCAGTGAAAGCTCATATAGTTATACATATTCAATAAGTCTCTTTCCTCCTTGAACTGGAGGCTAGTACAGTGGTGCCCTGTTAAAGGAGTATTTTTCTGGGAACAGTGATGCACAAGATACATTGGAGAAGAAAAGAAAGAAAGACTGGAGATCCCTGGAAAAGGCAGTGAGGCTTAGTGCGCTCTGGCTTTAGACAGTTTGGATTCAAATCATGATACCACTTCTTACAGTGTGGTCTGAGTAAACTACTTCATGTCCAGAGAGATTAAATCTCCATTTGCTCAAGTTGTAAAGCGCACATCAGAGTTGTACAAATTCATAGGGTGTAAAGATTAAAGATAAAATATATAGATGAGGTAGTATAGTGGTAAAGGGTAAAGTAGTTTATTTTGTTTGTTTTAAGAGGCTGTTGTTGTAATCTAGGCACAGGATGTGGGCAATGGAACAGATGTGGCAAATCTAAGTAGGATTTCAAACAAGGCATTGACAACACTGGATGGAAACCCAAACAGGAAAGTTGGGACGGTGAGCTGGTTGGGCAGAATAATGAGTTTAGTTTTTGACATTCAGACAAGGTGTCCATAAACGATCTCAGAAAAGAAGGAGACGGAAGCTTATAGTTAAGGAGTGGAGATATGGGCTTGGGATTTTTCTGTGTGGACAGGTTTCCAAGACCAGGTTTATAGGGAAAAGAGCAGAGGAAAGAGGTGAGACAGAGCAGAGAAGATAAAGGTGCCAACAGAGAAGTCTGAGAAGGTGCCGCAGGAAGAGACAAGCCCAACAAGGCAATGCTATGGAAATCAAGAGGACGGAGGATTTTAAAAAATTGGAGACCATCCCATGAAGTCACTTTGTTGGGTAAAGCAGAGTTCAGACCTGGCACTGAATCTGACTTGGGGAATATCATTGATTTCTTTGCAGAGGACAGTTTCTCTGGAATGGTGAGGGCAGAAGACAACTTGCAGAGGACTCCTCCATGCACTAGCTAATACTGAGTGCATAGTGTGTGCCAGTTCCCGGGTTAGGTAGGATTAGAAAAAGAAACAGGAGGAGATTAAAGGCTATGATTTAGATCACACATTCCATGAGTTTGGAAGAGGAGGGATCGTGTATTCTGGGGGATGAAAGGAGTGATTGAAGAGCATGTCCTTAAGAAGACCCAGAACAAAAGATCTTAACTCAGTATCAACAAACTGGCTCAGAGTCTGCGAGCCTCCAAAAATTGGTGGGTTTTTGCCTATGTATACTTCTCCATTTCTACTGGTCTAGATGTTAGCTTTGGGAAGAGGAAAGGATTAGAAAGGAAGCCATTAGGATGGCGTGTTGACATGGAGGCCGAGTTGATTCTGTCAGACTTAATAAGGACAAGATCTTGGAGGCAGTTCCTTCCATCAGGAGGCAGCTGTGTCTGTTCAGACAAAGGCTCTACCTCAGAACCAAAGAACAATGTTCTTGTTCTGGCTCGCTGTCTCACTCACTACTTAGGGTGTGGGAGAGGATGGATATGGGGAGAAATAACTGGATACTATATGAAAATGTAATCTGAAGCAAATTCCACTGCCTCATTTACATGTTATGATAGTTAGCTGATTGCTTATAGGCCCACCGATTCATTTCATTAATTTGATAAATATTTGAGTTCCCCTTTTGTACAAAGCCCTATGCTAGGCATGAAAACAATGAATTCCCATAAGGCACCATTCCTGCTCTCCCTGAGATTATGGGGAGTAGGGGATCAGAAAGAACACACATGATCACAGTGCTGGGAATGAGGGAGGCACAGACAGGGTAATATAGGAAAATGGAGAAGGTGGGGTCAGGGAGAGCTTCTTGAAGGGGGTAATCTGAGTTGTAAAGGGCAGTGAGAGTTAGCAGAATAAAGAAAGGAAAAGAAGGAGTTCTGGAACAGCATGTGTACAAAAGCATGAAGTACTTGACCCTTTTGAGTCATGATAGGTATTGGGTATTGTTAACATGAAGTGTGAGGGTGGATAGGTGGTAGGAACCAGGTAAGGCAGGAGGTAGTTCCTGATGGGTCTAGAATTCTAGGCTAAGGAGTTCAAATGTGATCCTAAAAGCTATGTGTGTGTGGAGGGGTCCCTTGGGAGGAGGGTTGTCGCTGAAGGATTTTAACTAATAGGCTGAGCTTTAAATTCTAGAAAGTTTTCTTGAGCAGTTCTATAAAGGATGGAAAGAGATGTTAAGAAGGTAGGACCTACCAGTTATCAAGTTTTCTTACATTAATGGCTACTGTCCCATGAACACCAAACTAAAGAAACAAGCACACTTTAAAAGCTAACCTTTTGATACAATGATGCAGCACAGAGACAGTGCAGACTCTAATTTGGCAAAAGGAGCCTCTTCTGGAGTCAAGGAGGCTCCAAGAATTGTCTTTAGCCAAGAGTCAAAGAAGTCTACTCACGCTGGAGTGGACCCAATCCCTAATTTCCACGCTTGCCCTCTGCTGCCAGCTGAAATTAAATGGCCATATCCACATTAATGCAGCAGCGAAGTGGAAACTTATCACATTGTCTTAAAACAGAACTGTGTTTATATAGTCAAAGTTTAGAGAGTTGGTTTCAGTAACATCAGAGGTGCCATCATATAATGCTGATTCAGTGAGTAATATCTATAGACTCACGGAATTTCAAAGTAACCTGCTCCAGTATTAATGGTTTCATCAGCATTTTCAGAATTACAATCTTAACTTCACACCAACCATTTATTTTCACTTTGAATTTCAAAAGAAACACTCATTAATAACTGCCTCTGTTACCATGGTAAAATAGTCACTATAATTCATAAGACTAAATGGAAAAAAGATTGGCTAATTGAACCAATATAATTTTGCAGAATAGAGGAAAAACAATAGCTCACAAATAAGCTACACAGAAATGCTTTAAATAAACAAATGACTGCTATCTTACAATCCTAGTATTACATAATTGTGTTCATCATTGAAATGAAATAATATGAAAAAATCACCATGAGATATCAAAGATAGGAAGCCTCAGTGAAAATGTTTCAATGTATCGGTGATGTCTTGGGGTCATTGAGAATGCTAGTATTGATTTCATTAAAAAAAATTTCAAATCATATTTTTTTCTAGAAATATTTTTATAAAATCAATTTTGGGGCTATACTGAGCACCATAGATTGAATGTTTGTGTTCTCCCCCAAAAATTCATTTTTGAAATCCTAACCCCCATGGTGATGGTATTAGGAGGTGGGGACACTGGGAGGTGATGTGGCATTAGTCCCCTTATGTAAAGACTCCAGAGAAATCCCTTGCCCTTTCCACCATGTAAGGTTACAGGAAGATGGCGGTCTCTGAGGAAGCGGTCCTCACCAGACACTGAATCTACTGGTGCCATGATCTGGGACTTCCCAGTTTCCAAAACTGTGAGAAATAAATATTTGTTGTTTATAAGGCACCCAGTCCCTAATATCTTGTTTCTTTTTCTTGTTAATTTATTCTTATTCTTATTTAACTCTTATTATTACCACTCTTACTGTAAATGGTTTGACAAAATGGTTAGATTCCCTGGTTCACGGAGAAGTTCTGTTCTGACATTAAAATGTAATATGTGGATAATTTATACACACAGTTTTCATAATTCTAGACAATTCCATTTATTTTAAAATTAATATTTATGAATGAAGAATGTTTTTCTAAATATGAGAATACTCTGTATCTGAATATGCATACAATTTATATTTGTAAAATATATAATATCTCAATTTTCATTATATATTAAATATAATATATATGTCTAGTGTCTATTTTATTTTTATTATAAATATTTAAGGTCTATACGATTTATACAAATACATTTCAGCATATTTTCACAGTAAATATATTTTTCTATACATTTAAAAAATATAACCCTATCTTTTATTTTATTTCTTTGGAACATAATTTATCATGTTTGTTTTTTTTTTTCCTAGTTAGGATTTAATAGGAGAGCACTATGTGCATATGTAGGTGTTATTATTTCCATTTCAGAGATGCCAACACTGAGGCCAGATAGGTTAATTATCTTGTCCCAAATTTCACAGCCGGCAGGTGGACAAAGTAGAGTCACGTTTTATACCAGACCTGATTGCGAGCATCCCAGGGTCCATTCTACCATGCCCTGCTACTTCCCATTCAATTATGGCGAATGCTGGATATAGTGTTTCAAGTCCTTCAGAATTTCTTTAATTCATTTGCACTCATCATTGCACAGTGACTTATCCCTTTCTAGTGCCTGCATAAAATAGGGCTCCTCTATCCTCTATAATTAGATGCTGCTTTTAACTGACAGGGATAATGATGTTCTAGGCTAGGGGAAGCTAATCCCAAGGAGAAATGACCATGCAAACTCTGAGTTGGGAGGAGACTGAGGTGCCAGGAAATCCTCAATGTAAATCCTAGCAAAATACGGAGAGGGAGATTGGGTTTATGACATCTGATTTTTGACATCAATCAGGTAAAATATTAAGATAACAGTAAATCAGAATCATCTGGTTGTGAGACCCCTACAAAAGACAGATTCTGATCAGATAAGTAGAAAATTTAACTTATCTGAACATATCTTCTTTAGTTTGAAAAGTGCCTGATGGAATTCAGCTAGTCTAGCCTTTCAATTCTTACAAATTTAGAACTGCTAGATTGTAGGATATAAAGAGAAAATTATAATCATGAGTCTCTATTCTGTGAAGGTGGCCAACATTCAAAATTTAGAGTTACCTGCCTCAATAATTGTGATATGACCTGTTTGATTCATATCAATAGAAATCTTCTGAGTAAAGCACAATCATCAAAGATTAAAGACTATCAATCATCACACTGACTTCATTTTAAATTACCACTCTGCCTAAATGTATTTGAAAGGGTCATAAAGAGATGTTACATTTAGGGAAAGTGCTCTCCAACTGATGGATGTGATATAGAGAAGAGTTATGAAAAATTAGGAATAAATATGACTTATAATGTTAACTTTTATCTGAAATAACACAATCTCGCTTTCTCTTCACATCTGAGAGGACCTTGTTTCTTTTTTTCTTCCTTACTTCTTACAGAAGAGAATCATTGAATTTTACTAATGAAAGTGATCACCTACTCTTGTCATTTTCCAGATGAGAAAATTGAACCCTAAAGAGGCTGCCTTCACACATATTATAAATGTTAACCCCTTGACCTTCTGATCATTGTTAAAAGGATTCAGGTCATTTATGAAAAAAGACAGCAGGTAACCCCAGCCCACAGTATCTTTCTTAGATACTCAAGGACAGCAGAAAAAAAGACATTATCCATTTCCAAAAGTTTAATTCTAGGGGACCTTTTTTTTTTCATACCAGATAGGACAAGTTTAGTTATTTATGTGATTGGAGAGAGGAATTAAAATATATTTGGTAAGTTAGATATATACATTGTTTGGATTATTTTATTTTTATAAGTTTTCCTTAAAAATACTTGTGTACTAATGTTACATGATGAGTAATTAACTTTATAAAGAGGATCATGATACAAATAAAATGATTAAATATTAATGTTGGAATAAACATCTTCTCTAATATATTAAGTCAAAATACTTAAACATACAGTGATTTTGTGGTTAGGATACAATATAGTTTCTAAAATGATTTCATTGACATTTTCCCATAATTTGATTTCTTTCTTTTTCCTGGCCAATTAAGTTTTTTACCTTGCTGATATGCCAAGTCCTCATACTTTGTATTTATATACAGCCACATATGCTAGGTAAAGTGTTAGATAAATATTAGTATGCTTATTATTGAGTAAACATTGTTCTTATTAGGAATGATAGAATTTTTAAAAATTCTTAGCACTTTATTTAAGGCTGTTCTACTTCCCTTATAGTACTCCAACTTGACAACTTTAGAGACTCCTTCTGAGGCAATTATCAGGAAGAGAATTATAATAAGTTGTTTTCTGAAAATGTTGAGGTGTGTGCCTTAAAAAAGAAAGTCCACAATGAACACTTAGAGTTTCTGAGCTCTTTCCTCCTAAGCCCCTGAGAAGTAGCAAAAGGCATGGATTGGGAAAAGGGAATGTTATATATTAAATTCAATAATGGCACAAACATTTCTGTCTAAATTCACAAAAATGGCAGGTTAGGCAAATCATAATTAAGCACAAAAGCTTATTCCCATGTATGGACAATTTTTGTGAATTTTAAGAACATGAGGGAAAAAGCTGTATTTTAGTTAAGTAGTTTGGAGAGCAGCCCCTTATCCTTAAAGTTCCATCTTCATGAACTAATTTCTGTGATTAAAGTATTGTTTCTGTGAGCATACTTCCTAGAAGAGAGACAATTTTTAGAAGATCATTTCTTTTTTCAAAATAAACCACCAGGAAGCCTAAATAAGCCCTGAGAAGAAAATCTAAGGTCTTTTTTTCCTTCCTAGCATGAAAAAGGAGAATCTCCTAGCTGTCCAGACTGGTTGGAAATAGAGCTGTATAACTCAGTTCTCCAATGTATTTAAAAATATAAAGAAAGCTCTCTGTTGAATTTTTTAAAAATAAGCTCTTACACATAAAGATTGTATACCATGCAAGTGAATTAAAGAAAAGATGGGAGACAAAATAATCAAAGCAGGAAAATACATACCCGGTTTCATTCTGAACAGTCAACCAAGATATTCTTACTATGATATTATTTTTCTGTCTTCCATTTTAGCACTGAAAATAAAATCCTGTGGAATCCAAATTCCTAAACTTGGCATAGTTAAGCTCTATCACCAGAAGATACATGTGCTGTTATTATTTCGGAAAATACGTACAAACATGTCCTTCCACCACCCATGCCTCTTGGAGTTATTTACATTTTGAAGTGATAACAGAAAGAACAGATTACCTGACACACAGAGGTAATACCTGTCCTGGACCGAGAACTCGATCTCAATAAACTCGTACAGATTCTGCGAGAGCGGCTTAAACAGTTTCTTCTCCAAGTCCTCCTTTACCAATGATGACATTTCCTCTAGGTCCACTTGGCCTGATGTCTTGGCTCAAGATCACCGTCGCTCTCCTTTCGCTCCCTAGATTTCTTGTTGGGGTTTGCGCCTCCCAGCCCTGGCTCTCTTTAACTTCTCATTCCCAGCCAGACCCAGGCTCCTGAGAGCGGAGAGCGGAGAGCCGAGTGCCGAGAGCCGAGAGCTGAGAGCGGTCGGTGCGCGGTCAGACCCCTCACTGCGCAACGTGCCCAGTGGCAGCTGCGGCAGCGGCCAAAATCCAGCAGCGACGCTCACTCGCCCCACCGTCACTCCTCAGCATCCAGGCTCAAGGAGGCTGCTCTCGGGAGCTCTCCTGTGATTTGCTGATGGGGAACACATTTCTGAACACCGGCAGCTCTACTTGTGGAGTCCCTTGGTTATTCTAGTCTAGTAGCCTTTTCCCTTTCCGTCACTCTGCAGGGGAAGACCACTGCTTCTGCTTGACTCCATTATATAAATCAGCTGTCTGGTTCTATTGATTGGGATCATCTTCCATTAAAAACTTTGCTATCATCGGCAGGAGACAAAGCATCAGTGCAAGCTCCTGACACTTCCAACAAGTCTCTTGCCCTCCTTCTTCCCCCTCCTGCAATTCATCAGACCTCTGCTTCCATGAAAGTCAGCACCAATTCCTGGGTCCGAATTATTGTTTAAATGGGCTCACTTTGATGTTGTTTATGCTCCTACTCACAAAGAAAAATGTACTAGGTATCCACTGGGGCAAAGCTTTCTATTTGTTTCTTGGGAGGGTGAATTTTCTATCCCTAGGGAGTTTATAATCTGAGAGAGATGAGTACACCGTAATAATTAGCATGAATGTTTAAAAGTGATAAATGGCACAGAAGAAAAGAGAACATAGGAAAGATATTTGTACCTGAAAAGTATCAGAGGAAGTGCTATAGAAGATCTACCTGGAGCTTGAAGAACAAGTGAAAAGTATCAAAGTGGAGGAGGGGAAGGAGCCTATTCCACAGACAGACTCTATGAGCCAAAGCCCTGCATCAGAAAGCTCAGTGGGTGTTTGGGAGGACAGGAAGTATTCAGTTTTCCTGAGTGGTAGCATGTGTGAAAGTAAAAGATAAGGCTGGAAAGATGGATTGGGGCCAGATCAGGAAGGACCTTGAATGCCAGATTAATCCTTTGGACTTTATTCTGTAGAATTAGAGAGCCAGTGAAGATTTTTGGGCATTCATTCACTCAACAAATATTTCTAAGGGCTGATTTTGTGCCAGGCTCTGTTCTAGGAACTGGGAACACGCAATGAAAAAAAAAAATAGGTCATTTCCTTGCTCCTGTAGAGCTTAGAGGGGTAGAGGGAAAATAAAGAAATAAACCAGTGACCATTCAGGGTGCACTCAGCTGCAAGTAACGGAACACATGACATAAAGTTGTAGGTAGGAAAGACGTCAAACAATCTCTCATTATAAAAGGTCTGCAAGTAGGCAGTTTCAAGATTAGCTCAGGGCTCATAGATGAGGGTCCCAAGTGCTTTGATTCTTCCAATCCTCAGCTGTTGACTTTTTGTCCTTAGGCTGTTGTTGTTCAGCTCCAAGGACAGGAAGACAGGGGGTCAGAGGGTTGGTAGCTCTAGCTGGTTTCACTTTATGTCAGAAGCAAACTCTTTCTCAGAAACCAGCCAGAGACTTCCCTTTATATCTTGGTGGCCAAAACTGGGTCGCAGGGCCATCCCTAGGAAACAAGTATATGTCATTTTTGGTACCTACCATGGGAAAGGGGATTTTCTAACAAGGAAGAAGAGGCTGGGAATGACTGGAAGCAGGCAATGAGTAGTGTTCCATGACTTCCATATTAGCTGCTCTAGAGAAAAATTACTGGCATGGTTGTGGCTAGGCTGAATTGTGGGTTCTTGGGGGAGACATTTGTCTTTCTGAGCCTCAGTTTCCCCATCTGAAGAATGATCTCTAGGGTCCTTTCCTACTTTAATATCTCCTATTCTGGGAGTCAAGATAAAACAATTTGGGTAGAGTACCAGAGAACTAGTACTATGCTTTTGGATATGGAAATGGAGAAGAAGGTGGGGTGCCAGGGTGCTCTGTTGATTAAGCATCCAACTGTTGGTTTTAGCTTAGGTCATGATCTCAGGGTCGTGAGATTGAGCCCCACATCAGGCTCCACGCTGGGTGTGGAGCCTGCTTAAGATTCTTTCTCTCCTCCTTCTTCTGCCCCCCCACCCCTCTCTCCCCCTTCTCTAAAAAGAAATGGAGAAGAGGGCATGAATATAAGATATATTTAGATGATAAAATCAATAAGCCATGGTACCTAATTGGATATGAAAGGTGGAAGGTAGAGTCAATGTGACACAAAGACTTTCCACTTCCACGGAGGGAATGAGATAATGGACCCATATCACAGGAGGGAGATTTTCATAGAAGTTGTTATTTCCAGCTTTTACACTTGTAAAATTATTTCCTGGGTGTTTTAGTCCTCTTATGGAGAACAAAAAAACTGGTATGACAGTCAGAACTCTCATCAACAGCATTGTCATTGAAATTTAGTGGCGCCTGTGTGGCTCAGTCCTTAAGCGTCTGCCTTGGGCTCAGGTCATGGTCCCAGGGTCCTGGGATAGAGCCCCGCAACGGGCTCCTTGCTCAGCAGGAAAGCCTGCTTCTCCCTCTCCCACTCCCCCTGCTTGTGTTCCCTCTCTCGCTGTGCCTCTCTCTGTCAAATAAATAAAATCTTAAAAAAAAAAAAGAAATTTAATGAGATACTTATTTATGTGATTTTTTAAAATGTTTTTCTCTCCTGCTAGACTTTAAGTTTTATGAGGGCGAGAACCATGTTTTTCCTGCTCACCACATAACCAGGATATGTGATATGCAGTGTCTAGCATATCCTCAACATTCTTGCATTCATTTATTCACTCACTTTATTTGTAAATATTTACAAAAGAACAAATAAGTGAATCAGTCTTATAATGACTTTTTCTTTTTTTGAATAGCTGATTTTGCAGCTTATATTTCCTCATAACTGTTATATATCCTTATAGCTGGACTTGACAGTTATTAGTCTTACCAGTGACTTATCCTGTATCAATATCCATTTGCTCTTGTTGCCATGAATGCATGCACTTTAGTTGTGAGAGTCTCAACTGCACTTCTGAAGGAAATTACTACAATTTTGTCTGAAAGTTCTTAAGAGTGGCTATGTATTCTGGTATGGTCTTAAGTAATGTTGAAATTAGAGGTTCAGGAACTGACATAGTGACCTTTTAGTTCCAAATTGAAATGTTTGCTATCAACAAATGTGTTCAGGAACGATTTGCCAATTGGTTTGAATATTCTTATTGTATTAATTTGTCTGACAGTCCTAGGGGAAAAGTCATATTAAAGTGCTAATAAATGTCTTTTTTAAGATCCTAAATCATTCTATAAGAGCAACCAACCTATCAAAACATTATCTAAGTTATAAAGAATCAAAGGATTCAAACTTAAAAGAATTACAAATGGCAGTTCATCAAAAAATGGAAACAAGGAAAATCTCTAGATACCCTAATTTCTTTATTAATTAAGAGGAATACAGTACTAAACCTTTAGAAACTAACATCAATGGAAGAGGTTATAGAAAAATAACAAATAGACCCCCAAAAGTGTTCACTAAGGTATTTAAGAGAACTATAACGGGTTCCTGGCTGGCTCAGTTGGTAGAGCAGGTGGCTCTTGATCTCGGGGTCATGAGTTCAAACCCCATGCTGGACGTAGGTATTAGTTAAAATTTTCTTTAAAAAAGTTATTTAATGGAGCTATAAAAACATTCTTTCCTCATGGCCAAAGATTATTCTAGTCTGTAAATTTATTTTCTAAAATGCTATGGAATTGTCAATGGGGATGATGATGAGGAAACCATTGGGAAAAAATGGTATTTTTCTGGAAACCCTTATATTTAAAACTCCAACATCCCCTAAATGTATTTCCCACAGAGAAGCAACATTTTTTAAAGATTTATTTATTTATTTTAGAGAGAAAGAGAGTGGGAGGGAGGGGCAGAGGGAGAGGGAGAGAGAATCCCAAGCAGACTCGATGCCAAACGTGGAGCCTGATGCAGAGCTCGATTCCATGACGCTGAGATCATGACCCAAGCTGAAATCAAGAGTCACTGAGCACCCAGGTGCCCCTAGAGAAGGAATTTTTAATACCTGCTGCTTCATTATGAGGTCCAGCCAGTCTACCATCTTGGGTAAAATAATGAAGATTTTGTCTATGTAGATATAGCCCAGCTGGTGTACAGGGAGGCAAATTACTCAGAAGAAAATGCCTCCTTGTGAGTCCTGTAAACTCACAGATTAACTTTTGTGTTAACTGAGGAACTGAAGCCTGGATTCTACATGACCCACAACTAGAAGAGTGTACTGTAATTTCTAAGTCTGTGAAAAGTCCAGATCTATTTTATTCTTACAATTTTTTTTTTAGAGACCAAAGAACTATTTTTCTTTCAATTTTCAGTTTTGGAATTTTGTTTTAATCACTTCCCCAACCTAGTCTGTAAAAATTTTACACTCTCTTGCAACCATAGAATTTATTTGCTTAAGGTATCTAGGAGTAAGTGTTCCACCTGTCCATAAGTAACAAGATAATAATGTGTACAAGTGATAATATTATTCTCCCTTTTGCACATTCACAAATTATAGGAGTGTAGGCTTGCACAGAGCTTGGGGCTAAGGTAATTGTTTCCTTGGAATTACAGAGTTGGCCTAATTGGGAGTTTGTAGACCAGAGTTCTACTCTTCTCAATGCTGCTCTGCAGGTGCATGATGAGAGGGTGGTAAACACTGTGGATATAGGCTTGGCCCCAACTCTGTGCCTTCTTTCTAGACCCACATCCTTTTGCTTAAGCAAAAGGCCGTGGTTGTGTATGCCCTCATATCACTAAGTCCTAGAATGGCCTCCAGGAGAGAAGAGAAAATACTATTTATCAGCACTAATCCATTGCAATAAGCCATTGCAATATACATTGTTTAATTTAGT